GCCAGGGCAGGACAGGGATGACCGTGGGAGGAAAAAAAGAAAAGGTCTGTTAGTGATGCAGTATTTCTAAAACATAAGTACAGTCGTGACTCGATAATCCAACACTAAATGTAAAACCTTCTTTTATGTCAGATAGCAAGGCTGTCGGATTGTCAAGACGGAGGTCGAGATACAAGGAGGACTTGATGCTGGAAGGTTCATTAGTTGTTAATTATTGTTCATAGTTGTTATAATAACTAGTAGGGCTGGTCCCAGTAGAACTTTCTGCTCTCTGGATATTTAGGCCCAATTAATGATGAATATTTGGCGCGGTCTGGGGACACTTCCACACCGGGGCAGCGCTCTGACGGGGTGGAAGTGTCCGGAACACACAGGCAGTACTTGGCTGCTGATGCTGGTTGCAAAGAAATTAGATTTCACAAAAAAATCTGAACTGAGCATCAAGTCCTGCAGTGTGAACGTAGCCAATCTGTGGGATTGTTCACTCAGATAATACGCCGTCATCCTGATTGGTGACATAAAATGTCATGTCGGAGTCACAATCCAAGGCTGTCGCTATGTTAAGGCTGTTTTTATGGGTTCAGTTAGCTTTTCCTAAAAACCTGTCAGATAGCAGGTTTTGGATTGTTAAGGGTCGGATTATCAAGTCACGACTGGAGCTAAAGAAATACTGTAAAACTGCAAGGAAAAAGCTACCTTCCCTTTTCTCTTGACATGACTGAGCGGGCTCCTAAAAGACAGTTTGAGCTGCACTATTATCAACTCGGGGCTTAAAGGCACATTAGGCTGATGGTACCCTCATGCCTCTGCCTGGTTAGGATCATTCTAGTCAGACAACGCTATAAAATGCCACCAATCAGACAAGCAGCGTCCCAAAGGATCTGCCTACAGCTCTGAACATGTTTCTTTTCAGTTTGACCTTTCCAACCTCCGGGGCTCGGCGTAACATAAAACTGAGCAGCAATTACTCCCCAACGATGTTAATTTTCCTCATTCAGAAATCTCAAATCTGAACGTCAGACTCAGGCAGTACAACAGTTAAAGAAGGAGGCACTCGTCTCAGGAAAATTATTTCTATGAGGCTTGTAGCCGAGGTGGGTAAGTTGATCCTTAATCAGTAATTCAGTCAGTGTGCCATGAAATAACATGAGGCTAGCTGTCACAGAGAGCTGCCTGCTGTACTGCCAGTGGCGCTTACAGGTGTCTATTCATCTCTCTGCTCTCATCAATTACACAAGCCAATGACAGATCACTCCGCATTCATTTGTCTGCTCACATATGCATGGTAATAAACGCATCAGATATCAAAGTAAATTAATTTATTCATATGAAGATGGAGTACCCACTGTACTCAGTGAAATGAATGCATGTCCTCAATGCCACCAGCCAGCCAGACAGACAGCTCAGACACCCGAAGCACTCGCTCAGCACCACTTCCTTTATTTCGTTTATGGCACTGTGATAACTGCAAGTGTGTGTTTTTTTCTTTTTTATTAATTCAAATTAATTTGTCTCCACGTTTTAACAACATGAAAGGCAATGCATGCTGCAACACCCAGCTTTGATGTGGATGTGGAGCAGATGTTGCTGCAGTCAGGTGCATTTATTACCAGGGAGCTGCTCTACCATGACATGGAGGTTCAGGAAGCTGATTGGACAAACTCTCATCATGGAATAAAACACAACGCGTTAGCTAAACTGACAGCATGCCGTTTATAAGTCCGTTTTTCTTTCCATCCGTTCCGGAGACACTCACCTGCTCGTGACATGTTCCCCCGCACCTGCGCTCTCGCGGTCACTCAGCCTCTTCAGTTTCGTCGACTTGTGCTTGGTCTTCGCGTCTCCTTTAGCTTCCTTCTCTCTTCCCATGTCTCACCAGTACCTTATAGCAAAGAACAACTACATTCACAATTTACAAAAAAAAAAGAAGAAAAAAAAGAGAAAACAGTGCGCTGTCAGTGTTAATATCCTAACCGACCTTCGAAGTTAGTTAGCCAGTTAGCTCGCTAGCTAGCTGCAGTCACACCAAAATAACGCACAGCTCCGTTAACTCACATTGATATATGAAGAAAATAATTATTAAATGACATGGCTAGCAAGTAAAAATCTTCACCATCAATCTACCTGCTCCCCCGCTTGTGGTGACGGTAAATTCTGGGTTATTTTTCGTGTGAAATACAAACTTTTCAGGCGACTCAATTATCCTCAGTGACAAGGCGGAATCTCCTCCGACCTCTGCTACCGTTGACCTGAGCTACGTCAGCCTGAGCTGAGCTCTGATTGGATGAGGAAGTTCCGGGTGCGGGTGGTGTTACCATAGATTTGTATAATATATGGATATGTATAGCACCATATATTTATTATTATATATATCTATGAGTGTTATGTGACCCATATAATTCGGTGACCCGTCCTGACCGTACAGATCCATTTCCTCAATATGGAAGTGCCTTAGAGATGTTAATATTGAAACAATAGACTCAATAAACAATCCAACAATCCTTTATTTATTTTATCTCCTTTTGTACTGTTTCAATTTGATTTTTGATTTTTATTTATTTATTTATTTATTTTAATTTTCTCTCTCTTTTATGGCTCTTATGGAACGTACCTGCAGTATAATGTGTGATCAGAGGTAGAACATTTTTCCTGTAACATCCTGAGGATTATAGAACATTCGTTTTTATAAAACATTTGCACAACGTTACATGACATCAACACAGAACAATGTAATGTTCGCAAAATGTTTTAAGAATGTTAGGGTGTAATGATCTGACAACGTTATCAGTAAAG